GATGCTGCCACCAGCACATGTTCTTAGAGATGCCAACTAACTGTCAGCTGTCAGATACAGAACACTGAAATCATCTCCATGCAAACATGCACAAATAAGAAATTAAATATTCAGTTCAGTCTCATGTTTAAGCTGTATGGTTACGAAATGCCATAAAACAAGTTAATCAAGCTGCACTAAGAGACAGCTAGGGAGAAATGAGATATTGTGTGACCATGTGCGCTTATTAAATGTCGTGTCATCTGAATCAGAGAGGACGTGACCAGCATGCATAACAATCAAACACATGCACAGCTGCAGCAAGCGCTCTTAATAAGGGTCATGTTGTCGGTTCAAACAGAAAACTGCCAGAGGGTATCAAACATGTGCCCCCTCCAACAAGATTTATGATTAAATTTTTTGCATAAAAATACATCATAAAATAAAATAATATATTGTAAATTTCAGAGAGGACGTGACCAGCATGCATAACAATCAAACACATGCACAGCTGCAGCAAGCGCTCTTAATAAGGGTCATGTTGTCGGTTCAAACAGAAAACTGCCAGAGGGTATCAAACATGTGCCCCCTCCAACAAGATTTATGATTTAATTTTTTTGCATAAAAATACATCATAAAATAAAATAATATATTGGAAATTCACTGTTTAGAATATTTTAGTAACACAAATGGAAGTAACCACAAAAACATAAATCAAAACTCTCTTATTTGAACTTCTTTGCAACCCATACATTTTCAGCTTATACTGTATATTAGAGGTTTACCGATAGTGGATTTTACCAATAACAGTAACTAGGTTGGACCACGCTGGCCAAAAACCAATTAATCAACCACTAGTTTTAAAAATGTTTTAAAATAATAAAAAAATCTATATTTAAAATATAAATAAAAAAAATGGTGTGAGTACATTTTATTATCAATGTATTAGTGCTGTCAAACGATTAATCGCGATTAATCACATCCAAAATAAAAGTTTTTGTTTACATAATATATGTGTGTGTACTGTGTATATTTATTATGTATATATAAATACACACACATACAGTATATATAAATATTTCCACGTATTTCCATGTATATATTTATATTTGTATAATTGATATTATATATAAATATTTTAAATGTATAAACAACATATTTTTCTTAAATATTGTTATGGGGCAGACAAGACGTGAGACGTTCGGATCCATGTGCAAGCTTTATTCACAGGCGTGGTCAGAAACAGGCATGGGTCAGACAA